AAGCCTATGACCTGGGGCGTCACATATATAAACAGATAAAAAAAAATACAAAAAAAATGAATCAATGGTGGGGCCTAAAAAATGATCAAAGCATCTTTTGATTCTCCTTCTTCTAAAAAGTTCAATCATTTAATCATTCAAAAAAAATTCGACGACTTAATTACTCAACATATAAAAAGTTCAACGCCTTACTCAATTAAAAAAAGTTCAAAAACTTAATAATTAAAAATGGAACAATTTTCTTACGGGCCGTTTACCTAAACACTTACCCGGTAAGGACTTAATGGTAAACTTCAACTCTATCGCTTACTTATCGGGTAAGATTTTGTCTACCAAAATGATATCGTATGTAACAATTTACCCGGTAAACGCTAACCGTGGTAAGAATCGTCGTCATCACTTACCCGGAAAGACTCTCGGTCCATGCCTTCACTTTTACCAGATAAGATTTTTGGTCATTGTATATTCATCCGGTAAGGAAATATGACTTGGTAAGCGCTTACCCGAGTAAGCACTAAGTAAACAGCCCCTTAGTTTGCTGAACTTTTCCCTTATTTAAATTCAATACAAATGGTTTCTATAAATATAAAATATCTCATTCATTAAAATAAATAATTAATCATAAAAATTAAATTTTGGATTACACTATATTAAAAATTTTAAAGTAGTTATGAGGAGACTTTAATACTAATAGATATATGTAATATAATAATAAATATATATATATATATATATATAATAAATATTATATAATATGTGTAAATACACATATATAGGGTGTGTTTGGTACGTGGAACAGGGTGGGACAGGACAGGACAGGACACACTTGTCCCACGTTTGGTGTGTTTTTAAGTAGAACTAACTAGAACTAACTTGGACACAGATGGGACACGGGTGTTCACCCTTACCCCATGGAACTAAGTGGAACAAGCTTCTTTTTACTAATCTACCCTCCTCACTCATCGTGCGTCCTTCCCTGTCGCTCCTCCATGCTCAGACTGCCTCCATCGCCTCCATGGCACCGACCCTCAATCGGTGACGACACCCTCCATCGCACTCTAGGTTCCCCTCCATGCTCAGACTGCCTCCATCGCACATCCTCCATCGCACCGACCCTCAATCGGCGACGAGAGTTCTAGTCCATACACACAGTCCGACGGCCTCCATCGCTATACCTTCTCCTTCATCAGGTACACGATTGCCCTAACCTTCTCCTTCTCATCGCTATGTTTGAATCGATTTAGGGTTTGCTAGGTTTGAATCGATTTAGGGTTTGCTAGGTTTGAATCGATTTAGGGTTTGCTTTGCAAAAATCGGCTGTTTAATCAAGCTCTAGCAATTCAAATTGCAATGGGATTGTTTGTAGTGTATATGGATATCTGATCAAGATCATATGGAAACAATACATTTTGCAGTAAGATTGATTTTGGTGAAAAAACACTAAACAACTCATTGAGGGTAAATTGGTCATTTTAATCAGTTCTGTCCTGTCATGTCCTGTCTTACCAAACGCTGAACAGTTGTCATGTCCCATCCTGTCTCGTCCTGTCCTGTCTGCGCACCAAACGCACCAATATAGACGATACATATAATTATATATTATAACTTGATTAATATATATGTATATAAAATAATAATGATAATTACATATAATCTTATTATTAAATCGAGTTTAAATGTGACATAATTTCCAAGCGCGCATGACTCAACCCTCTTATCAAGAGGGTGCTATTAGCAATTTTAATAATGTTTATGTAAAATTACATTTAAAGTTATACTTATTTTTTCATAATTAATAATAATATTATGTTAGAAAACTTTAATAAAATATTTAATTTAATTATTAATTATAATTTTGAAAAATTACTAATTAATTAGGATATGTGAGGTTGACCAATTTTATTTTTATTCATATTATATGTAATGGTTATTTAAAATCATAAATTAATGTAGATTTTTTTTCCTAAAATTTGTTTTAACTTATATAATAATCAATTTAAAATTCTTTTAATTAACATATTATATTGTTTTTATTTTTCTTTACCAACTTGTTTGTGTTAATATATTATATTATTACTATTTTAAATTTATATTATAAAATATTGTAACTGACTAATTCTGTAAGACGTCATTTTTGATCATTTTACATGTTTATCAGCTACATTTTTGTCAAACATAATTTGTTCATCAGTTAGTTTATCAGCTATATCAACTAGTTTGTCAAACATAACCTTAAGTAGGGATGAACGCATGTTAGGTTGGGTTGGTGGTTTGTCATTGAGGGCAAAATGTATATATTATAGTACTCACCACAATTTAGGGATTAAAGTGCGATTCTTCTAGGTCTTTAATGTAAAATCATAAGTTTTTTTGGGGTGAAACCATAAATATTAATACTGTTAGGGTGTTGTAGGTTTAAAAATAGAGTAAATTACGTTTTTAGTCATTGTGGTTTGTTGAAAATTTCTATTTCGTCTTTACGATTTTGAAATTACGATTTTCATCTATATGATTGATAATTCATTATCATTTCTGTATTAACGAGCCTCAACTATGGATCATACTGTTACCAAGTTCAACCACCAATGGTCTGTAGTTTGGGTTATTTGTTGATCGTATCATGCTCATTTGCTAGAAATGGCAGCCACCTAACGGACTGCACGATCATTGAGTTAAACCATCCACGGTCTATAGCGCAAGTCCTCCGTTACATCCATCGTTTCTAGCAAGAATACAGGGACAACATCTCAATTCTAAACTAACAACTGAATCTTATGCCTATGGATCTATTGCATTACAGTTTAAAATTTACACAACACTGATTGAATGACTAATGCATCCAAGACGTGTAATATATCAAATGTATATGCCATAATCGTATATAACCCCAAAAGCCCATCATAGAGCACTTTAAATAAGACAAATGTCCTGAAGACTTATTTAAGTCAAAACCGAGCCAAGAGCTTAACAACCCAATTGACTATTTCATAAAAATCATCAAAAGCAATAAAACGTATTTAGCCGAAGTGTATGCAAATACATGTTTCAAAGACACGATCAATTCAAATAAACATCATTGATTGGGACAAATCATTTTTCAATTAAATTAAAACTATACCATTTATATTTCCGAAATATCTCATAACATAACAATATGTATTTTCCAAACCAAAATTCAATCAAATTCCATTTCATATATCCATCCATGTTATAATTTAGCAAAAATGAAAATAGAACTAAGGGGGGTGTTTGGGATTGCTTATAAAAACAACTTATTGACTTATTCCGATGTGGCACCGGTAATAAACACTTTTGAGTGTTTGGATAAACAACTTATACCGGTGCCAAACCGGTAATAAGGAGTTTTTAAAGAAGTAAACTCTTCTGACTTATAATAAGTTGATAAGTGTTTTTGTAGAAAAACATAAATTGTTTCAATTAAGCAATCCCAGACACCCCCTAAATTTTAAAATCAAAGTACGTTATATTATACTACACTTTAATTAATAAATAGTTAAAAAAATAAGTTGCTACAGTACAAGATTACCATGATACATGACTTCTTATATCACATACCAACTAAGTTTAGATAGTTGGTATGATACTACCAATCAATTAGATTGGTACCAACTGAATCAGTACCAATTAAACTGATACAGTTAGTGCATGAATTGGTTGATTTATCTTGATACAAAATTAACACCCCTAATCAAATCGCAATCGTATGCTTTCACTCTACATTCGTTCCTGTAAAAATAATTATTTTTCAACGAGTAACACCATTTTCTACATCAAAACATAATCATCAAATTATTTATACTGTATTATAAAGTATTTGACAAAAACTCTTAAAAATCATTTTTTATACATGAAGTACTGTTTGTTGATGCATATTACTTAAAATTTAAGATTACAAGTAAATTTAAATTATGCATAAGTACAACTTATTAAAACTTCTTGTTTAAATTCGTGTAACTAAATGCAGATAAACATAATCAAACAGAGAATAAACATCTCATTTTAAATATAAAAAATCAAAAATATAATTAGAATAATCATTGACTTCTAACAAAATACTTAATTATCATCAATATAAAAAATTAAATTATTAAACCAAAAAGAATTACAAATACGTAAGAAAAAGCAAAATTTTAAATGGTTAGTTTAATATTAATATCAATATATTTTTCAATTTTTTATTATTTCTTTATATTTATATTTTATTCAAAAATAAAAACATCTTTATTTTCTCAAAATCACATAAAATTGTATTATAACATCAACCGAGACAAAGAAATAAATAAAACGAAACATTAAAATCAAGATTTATTTCGCTGCATTGTGCGAGTACCCTTCTAGTATAATTTAACGCATGGCAGGTTCACTTTATTTCCTTAAAATATTTTGATAAACCGAACCATCTATTTCATGTAGTATGCATAATGAATATGCCATATATCAATGATGAATAGCATACATTATGTTATTCAAAGTTATTCATTATGAATACTACATAAACTAAGGGGTCGTTTACCAAACACTTACCCGATAAGTGCTTACCGGTAAAATTTAACACTATTAGTTACTTAGCGGGTAAGATTTTAGTCCATCAAAACGACATTGTATGCAACAATTCATCTGGTAAGTGCTTACCATGATAAGAGTCGGTCACCCTCACTTACCGGGTAAGACTCATGGTCCTTGTCTTGCTCTTACAGGGTAAGATTTTTAGTCCTTACCATATTCATCCGGTGAGGTAATGTGACTTGATAAGCGTTAAGTGTTTAGCAAACCGCCCCTAAGTAGTTCTCAGGCTGTTCCTAAATGAACCTCCCTTTACTAACGAAATTATAAAAATTCCGGTGAGGCATCATTTACCACCACCAGTAGCAACCAACTGCCACCTACAAACCGTAACCAATCACCACCACAACTTTACCTGCATCTGACTAAAAACCCTTCAAGAAAAAAAGATTCAAAACCTTATTCGAAATGCAAGATAAGAAAGTTTGAGTGGTCATTGCTGAGTAGAAAAATGTGCAGTCAATCTTACACTGCAAAAGAAATACAACCATGGACATCAAGGCATCACAATCTGTATTTTCAAACAAGTACTTGAAACACAAACTGGTTTCTGGTGGTGACCTGCAGGGTTACCCAACGGTAACGGATAGCCGACCATGAAATTAGAGGACAAAACCAACCAGCTCTGCCCATCGACATCAGGCGGCGGTGGTTTCAGCACCATCATGGAGAGCACAGCACACGGTGGCTTTATGATGCCCCTGATAAACTCTAATATCCTCACCAGTAGACATCGACCAAAGCCTAGCTGTTGTATCAGAAGAAGCTGAAATTTTGGGGGTTGGGGTTAGAGGCAAGGACTAACATCCGTAACGAGCCTAAATAGGCCAAACCTCCAAGGGCTGGACATCGACCAAAGCCTATGATGTCACATGTAATGACATTATCAATAGACTGCATCCACTTTTTGTTAACTTAGGGAAGCACACATCAAATTAAAGCAGGTGCACCCTTTAAGACCCCTAAAAAGTTCCATTGTGTCAGGATGATATAGCCGGGGCATGGGCAGGGCACCCCCTAGGCTATTACTAAATCCGCCCCTGGAGGTCCTGGGTTCAAACCTCGGCACCACCACTTCCTGCTGACTCGCGGTCATTTACCTCCCCCATGATGGTCGTGGGACTGGGGGCGTTCCTGAGGGTGGCGTCTACCCGTTTTTATAGGGCCGAGCCAAGGCTCATGCTTATAAGACCTATATGCTCTGAGCTAATAAGTTCTTTCATAAGCCTATGTCCAGGCTTAAATACACTCCTAAAATCCTGAGACTGACAAACCTAAGCCTGTACAAGCTTCTGGCGTTCAGATCCTGCCGAAGCAAGCTCTGGATCGACTGGGGTGAAATGCACCCTTTGAACTAAGAGAACAGTGCATCAAAATGCAACTAAAATTTGCTTTAATTCCCATCAAGTGTAACAAAGAATTATTTTTCTCCATCAATGTAACAGAGTTTCAAAAAACTCCTATTTTTTTAACCCATTTTGACCAGTAACCAAATGATTTTATAACATTTGATGACTTAAATGTCAAGTTTATGGTCCCTTCATCGTAACCCTTCCATAAACATTTTGTACACCTTTTGTAAGCGGGCATCCATGTTATCAAATGTCACAAAATCAGGAGATTACTGGTCAAAATGGGTACAAAATAAGAAATTATGAAACTTTGTTTCATCGATTGAGAAAAAAATATTTGTTGCACTAAATAGGGACTAAAGCAAAACTTGATAAAGATGATAAAACTTTACATGATTACATATCAAATACCTGTAATGAGATAAGCACCATCAACAGAGAATACACAATCCCACACCCAACGTTGATGTCCTGAAACACGCAACATATCATACATTGTTCAAAACCAAAACATACCCTGAAACTTAACAACATTCTCGGTTTCACACACATATAAGTAACGTACCAACGAGAGTTTTCTCCAAGGTGAAACCGTCTACATTCCATATCTTGACTGTACTATCAGAAGATGCGGTTGCCAGATACCTATTTCAACAATCAATAAACAACTTAATCAGTCCAAAATTGACCCAAACCACCTCCCCTCCCTCCCAAAAAAAGAGGAAAAAAACCATGAAAGGAATGGAAGAACTCTGAAATCTAACCGCTGAGGCTCACAAAACTCCGGTGAAAGAAGACATTTAAGGATATAACCATCATGAGCCTGTAGCTTGTGAAGTGGCTCAAAGTTGGTCATTGTCTGTAATGCAACATGATTATGATCAGTATGCTGATCAGGAAACTTCGGTTGACTAAAATGGCACAGAAGACGATACCTGGGTTCCACGCAACAACCTCCAAACGTAGCATGTTCCTCGGTTGTTTGCAGCGACTACCAAGCTTCCATCCCACATCACCGTCAACGATCTCACTGCTGTATCAACCTCTGGCACCTAAGTTGAAGCCATAAAGTTGTTACTCCCTTCGTCCCAAAATCAGTGTCCACTAAAAACCACAGTTTAAGAATTTGTAATTATTATAGTTTTTAATTAACTGAATGACAATTTCACCCTTAATGATTGAAGCAAACCCTCTCTCTCTCTCTCTCTCATCAACTCTTAAATATTTGTGTGTCATAATTAGGGTAGAATTGGAAACTTAGTAAAGTATAACCATCTTTTTTTTTAAAGTGGACACTTATTTTGGGACAAACTTAAATAAAAATATGGACACTCATTTTTGGATGGAGGTAGCAATACATACGATGTATGTAGCAAGAGCAAACCTTGGAGATTAGTAGCATGTTTAATGAACACATGCAAAACGAAATAATAAATCTTGAGCTTTCGGTAGAGAACTCTATTTGCTCCATATGTTGGAGCTTCATTACTAAACAACCAACATGCTTACCAAATGCACAAAAAAAGAAGGAAAAAAACACTGCAATTGACAGAAAATAGTGAACTCGTGTGTTTGGAAAATGAATCATCAAGTACCATGGTTGCAAATGCTAATCCCTCTAGATATATTGCTCACAACCCAAAGTACATTGATGGAGTTTTTTTTAAAACAGCAAACAAGAACATTTATTCGAACTGTATGGGCCAGGCTGGAAAATTATTTTCTAACAGCATACTTTAGAAAAATTGCCAAGAAGATATTTTCATCTAACCAAAGGGTCATTGACCCAGCAGTACCTGGGTTACCAGTAGAGCATATCCTCCCAGGAGGTCAAGGGTTAAGAGTTCAAAGCTCACCAAAGGTGCAAATTGTATGCAAGTATTTGCTGTATATAGATACTATATACTTTAAAAAATAGAAGATACTTTTATCTGATTTTTCATCAACATTGGAGTCACATACACGTAAGTCATCGGCATCTCTACATCTAGAATTGAAGATTGCAATTGTGAAAATATCAAAAAGTCATATACCAGCTCACAGCTGCACGAGTTTGCAGTCAAGTCCCATACACGAATATTGCCATTTTGGTCACCAGATATCAACTCGGTCTGCAGAGCCAACGACAAAAGACCAAAACAGAACATTAGTGGAGTAACAAGTGGTACGATTTAATAAGGTTTAGGTCTGAACCACAAAGCAAATGGTCCTTGCTCAGTTCCACCATTTTCGAATCAAGTTGAACAGTCAACTTTGATTCAGTACCATTTGTTTAAAATTTTGAAACATCATTTATCATAAGATATATAATTGATTCATTTTAGTGACTAAATGATTCTGATAGAAGATGCATCAATTCAAACAAAAATCATTATCATAGCATTACAAATAAAATTAGATTGTTCTGGTAATACATGATTCAATGCACATTTCAGTTTGGTTTGCCAACTTAAATCACAAACCCAAGCGTGCCAACGGTTTGAAATCATTTGGATACAAGACCAATCCACCAATAACTAAACCAAACTCACTGGAGTGGCTAGATTCAATTTGATTTTGTATTTAGGCAGTTTGCACTTACACCCCATCTCACAGTACAAAAGTTACAAGTCTAATCAAAACTAATGGAGCCAAAAGCAAACATAATTTCAAGAAGGAATATGACACCTGATTTGGATGTAAAACAACAGTGTTAACAGCAGCACGGCTTTCGTATTCTCCATATAACCCCCATACCACAGTATGAAAGTTACAAGTCAATCAAAACCAACGGAGCCAAAAGCAAATGTAATTTCGAGAAGAAATATGACACCTGATTTGGATGTAAAACAACAGTGTTAACAGCAGCACGGCTTTCGTATTCTCGCTGACACCCTGGTGCCCTAATGTCATTTCAAGAGGAAGATCAAGATTTCTAAACTTTGGAAGAAGAAAGACGTGATTGTAACCAATAACATGAACCTTGACTGACCTCAAATCCCAAATCTTTACAGTTCCATCTTCAGAACCTGAGTACATCCATTTTCCATCGCATTGGAAACCCACAGCCATCACATTATTCGTGTGTGAATCATAGCTCATCACCTATGATTGTGACAAAAAAATTATATCCCATTAGCCAGGCATATATATGTGTGCATATGTGTGTGTGCATTGAAAGAGAGAGATAGAGAGAGAGAGAGAGAGAGACCGGCTGAGGACTGGTAGAGTTAACATCAAATAGTCGAATGTGGGGATTCCCTGCAGCAGCTAGGAACCTCTTATCTGGAGTTATCTCAAGCCGATTAACTTGCTGTATGAAAATAACATCAAATCAGACATCAGAAGTACATACATACCAAAAAGCATGATGTCAGTGCACAAAGCTCAGTGGTTTTGCAACGGTTGGGACTTGGGAGAGAGATCTTATTTTACGTCGCATTTTGCAAACAGACTGTTTCGTGACTCAAATATGTGATCTTTCCAGTCACAAAGAAGGAATCTTATAGGTGGTTCCAAGGCTCTCCCCTACCGACAATAGTTCATCTTAAATAATCACAGTAGATATATGGTCTAGAACTCAAATAGGTTGGAATCTCATAGCTAGAATATCTTCATGCAGTGAAAGTGCATGTGTGTAGTATGTACCTCTAATTATATGTACATATTTGAGAAGTTGCATTCCAGTTAAGTGCAGAAATCAGATGACAAAAAGATACTTCCCATCCATGAAAATTGCATCATTTTCTTTAATGAGAAGTTTCCATGGTAACTTTACCTATTTACCCATTGTCATAATTACAAATAAGTAGATGGGATTGATTGGGATCCATAAGATGCATTTACTTTCTCTTTATTGAATTTATTTCAGATACTTTGTAGATAGCAATTTGTTTGAGCCATGTGACATAAGTCAAGCTAAATGTCACAATTCTTTATAGGACGGAGGGATTACACTAAAATATTAGGATCTTCTTTGTTCTACTAACATTAAACAAGGCACACTCAACACATTTACACTATAGGGCAACTCTAGTGCAACAAGGCTCTTCGGCTCTAGGAGGATTGGGAGAGAAGCCTTTATGTAGTCTTTATAGAATGTATTCTGTGACTACTCATGATCTTTCAGCACAAAAAGAAGTAAACCTTACTAGCTGCTCCAAGGCTCGTCCCTATCTTGACCAATGGATCATAAAACAGATGGCAAAAGTGCACCTGGTGATCTTGTGTTGCATTTACAATATAGTACCAGAATCAGTATGACTACAATGATTGGTGATATCTCTTCTTGCACGAGAGTGAAGAAAAAGGTCAAATAACAAAGCTATATAAAATTAGGAACATGCACTTCTCCTATACATGATAGACACACACATTCATTGGGATCTAATATGCTTTACATTTGTGCAATACTCCTTACATCCCGTGACAATAGCTACTTACATTTTGGGTGATCTCATATAAATTGCAACATTTAAACTTTTCATGCTACAAAAAATTATCTATTTGTCCGTTATCATCATTACAAATTATTTGATGATGTCGATATGGGTCCATACAATTCCCTTTTTCTTGATATCAAATCGTATTTTACACATCAAAGAAGCAATCCAACAATTCGAAAACTAGAATTACAAACGGAACAAATTTTGTAATGTAAACATCTATATCAAGATTAGAACCTGACAAGCAATGCAAATCATATGATTAGAAAACTTACAGATTCTGGGTACTGAATAGTTCGATAGCACCGCCCACTTTTGGCCTCCCAGAACCTAATGGTGTGATCATAGCTTGCAGTTGCTAAAACAACAGATGGTTGAGTCATAGTTTGTCTCCTGATAAACACCAAACAAGAACATTAGTAATCTGAACATAAAGAATAGATATGCTTGCACAAAAATATGAAGAAAAAGTTGCCCAAAATAAAACTAATGCAGTCAATGCAAGATCAAGTACACTCACATGCTTCAATTTTAGATACGAGTTTGATTGATATTGGTTTAGTTATAGCTTATTCAATTTATTTAATCATTGCTGATTTAAAGAATAATATTTCCAAAATGTATGGAAGGAAAGTAAGATCGGTAAGGTATGTAAGGAAAATAAGATCAATACTACGACCCTTAACGATCAAAATTATCATCCATTAGAAAAGGTGTGATCAATCCTACGACCCTTAACAATCAATACTTTCATAATATATACTTTAAACTTACTTAAATACGAAAAAAACAAATCCACCGATTATATCACCATATATTTTAGTTCAGGCCTTTTATCAAACAGCTAGTGAGCATTATAAATTGTCACATAAGCACGATCAGTATCACCAACCATAGAAGCTGTTAAAAACCCAAAATACACACCATAAACCTATAGTACGAGCGCATTAACAAGAAAAAGGAAACACATCAAGAAAATTTCAAGGGTTTTCAGAAGATGAAATCAATCATAACAAAATCGTTGACATACCTGTCCGTATTTTGCAGACGAACTCCACAGCAGCAAATTATGAAGATCGTTTAGGAGTTATCCACAAGGGTTAGACTGTCAAATTTCATTTCTGCATCCAAAGGAATTAAAAAAAGGGAAGGAAGGAAGGAATCAAGAATAGAAAAACCCCGATTTTGCAGAAACGGGATTACTGGGGATTAGCTTATTCCGTCCATGTGAATACTTCATTCCATTCTTGAAACCAAAGCGAGTTCAAAAGAGAAGATGGTGGGCAGAATTGTAGCAGAGAGAAACGAAGATGATGAACCAAAGAGAAAGAGTATCAGCTGCTGAAACAAACAATACTACCAGCAATATCAATGACTCCTCCGATTACTGCGACAGCTCAGTATATCCTTTTTTTTTTTCTAGTTTCTAGGTCTATTTCTTGCCTTTTGGAATCAAAAGCCCTTTTCATGATCAAATGTTTGTGTTTTAAAATGATTTTTTTTTATTTCCAAGTTTTTAATTGTTTCATGTTGTTTTCAAAGATTTCTTGCTGAAAAAATTAGGTATCCTTCCACCTTTAAAAGTAAAATAGAGTGAATTTACACTTTGGTCCTTGTGATTTACTTAAAACTAGTTGTGTACCCACGACAATACAATACGGCGGGAGCAGTGAATTTTAACAATTTTGAGGTTTTACAGGTTTTATTATAGAATATTTAAGGATGATATAAGTTACATTTGGTCTTTACATATTAATACAATTTAAATAAATAAGAGTTACGGTTCCAATTACAGTCTATCAATGAAAAAAATTGTATGACAATTTAAAATCCAATATATCTAAACGACTCCATAAATGTGTTCGATTTACAATAAGAGCAAAGAATCAAGAGATCGAGAGCGAGACCGAGAGTTATGGAGTAATTGAATGGAGATGAATGAGAACTCATGGTGAATATCATTTTAAATCTCACCTTGGGGGATGGAAGACGTAGAGGTATGAGAGGGTGAAGACATGAGTGAAAAGTGTCAAAAGTATCTTGGGAACATGAAAAGAAAAAGTAATAATGTGCATTAATAACTTGCGCTATATGTTATATTAATTGTAGATTAAAAAAATTTAAGACCAAATGCATAAAGTAGTAATACTTAATGCATTATAAGTTGTTTTTAAGACTTTGTGCGTAAATGTATAGTACTTTGTGCATTAAAATTTGTTTTTAAGACTTTTGATAAATCTAATATATAAGGTAATATAAATTATATCTGTTTAGAATGAAATAATCATGAAAAAGAGTTGTATTGTGTTATCAACTAGAAAAGAGATGATCACGAGTTTAATACCAAAGCATTCGCTTCAAGTGACCAACATCGAAATACCAACATATATGTGTAAACAATTATAGAAAATAAGAGAAGCTGAAGTGACATCGGATTTTATGTGGAAAACCCAAACAAGAAAAACCCGAGAGACCATCGAAAAATCCATCATCAACAATGTTGCGTACGATGCGTGGAAATGGAAAGAAAATGGAGAAAACGTCCCTAGATTAGTATCTTTGTATCTATGTTTTGGGAGAGAAAGTACAACGTAAAATCATGAGAACCAGTACCAAAATTGAAGAAATTGTTGTTAAAACCATCCAGATAACGCTACACGACATGGGGAGTGACACTAGGTCGTAGCACAAGTCGCATACACCAAAAATCCCGAAAAACCATAGTGAGTTGCACGATATGGAGCATGGCAGCGCACATGATTAATCACAGGGAGCTATTGTTTCTCTTGATTTTGACGATATACTTTGGAAACAAACTTTCTAATCTCCAGATTGGTTTCATAAGTACACTCAAACCGAAAAACTTGAATGTTTCTCTATTAAAGCAACAGTCCAACTCAAACAACCTTCAAAATATTAAATCAATGACGGCAAACAAAAACAGAACTTATCGGGAAAGTGAACCATACCTCCTCCATCATGAATTCCTCGGACCCAGTTGCACCTCAAAAGACCGACCAAGTCCCAACATAAACTGAACTTGGCCATCGGAAGACATCTGGTGAACACATTTGCGAGATTGTCGTAAGTATATACCTTGCTCACCTTGATCAATGACTTCCCACACAAAGTGGTCATGGAACATCCGGTGTTCAAAAAAGTGTGTCATGACGTGTCGTGTCATAAGACGCGTCTCCGCCGGTATGACGAGGCTCATAGTGTTTGTGTAAGGCATGACTCACGCCATGGCTCCTTGAGGCGTGCATTGGCGCACGTTTTTTCAAGGCGGGTTTTATTAAGAAATACTTTTTTGTAATTTAATTTTTTCAAATTCAACTTTTTAAGCTTTTGCGGTTTTACATTTTAATTTTAGATTTTATATTTTTACAAACTTAGTTAATCACATCACTCGGAGTTTTTTGGATTCACACATATCACATACTCACGGTTAAAATAAAGTTGTAAAAATTTTCAACATTCAACCGGTTTTTTATAACTTGAATCTCCTTCATATATTTCGTTGCGATCAACATGTCATCCACGTATACGAGCAAATAGTCCATTGACCCATTATCACATTTTTTTTATTAAATATAGATGTTATAGGTGCACTTTTCTAGCTCGTGAGCAGTCACAAATGTGACACCCAAAATAGGGTAAATAAACATTTATGAAATGAAAAAGAAAATAAAGGAAAATAAAAGGAGTTCTATTTTATTATTTTTTGGATCAAAAATTAAAAAAAAAATATTTGGGAATTGGACTAATATTGAATAAAAATGTTGAATCAGAGTAAAAGTGTAAAGTTGGTGAAAGTAGTGAGAACAAGGGCCAGACGTAAAATGTCAGAAAGTTCGGGGAGGCTAGTGCAAGGTTTCTCATGGTTTGAAGACCTATATTACAAAGAGGACATATTTATTTGAATATCATATTTGAAAACGACAGGCGTTCTTTAAAACTTGTTATTGGATCATTTAGTCAACTAATATGCCAAACTTTTTGGAGATAAATACAGAGGGCCTTTCTAGCAACATTTTGGTTCAAGAAAGTTAGAATATTATTGAGTTTTGAGGGATAAATCATAGCTTTACTTGAAATCTTCGTTTTTCGTTGTTTTGAGGTAAAATACTCAACCAAACTTTGAGTTCTTTATATGGTTAGCTTCGTTTTTCAATCCTCTATCGAACCTTAGTAGTCTTATCTCTTATATTTTTGTTTAGAAGGTCAGACTTTTAGTTTTCTTTGTAGATTTCAAGTGGTGTAAAAACCAAAACTTTAAATGAGAAAATGAGACTCAATACTTGATGGTTCTTGTTGATTTTTTATTCCTATGGTTGAGAATGATATTTTAGAGTTTTATCAAAAATAATATTTGAAATCGGTGAAAAAACAAGGTCGGATGGCCTTTTTCCAGTTATCTACGAGTTGTCGCTGAAACAATATGGAAGGCCAGGTCTGGACGTGGGTTGTGTTAGGGGTTGTTCGATTGCAGCTTAATGGGCTGTATAAGCCATGTGAGTTATTCGCACAACCATATCTAACCGTTCGGTATAGGCTTATACGGTCAGCCCATGGCTGAATCACTCAACTACAAAAATAGAATCATATCCCTTCAGCCATTTATTGATCCATTTATTCCCTTTTTACCATTCCCCTTATTTCATATTCTTCTCTCTTTATATGAAATCTGGACTTATGGGCTGTGAATATTACGCCGGCCGTCTCTCCCACCGCATTCACCTCAAGGGTTGGACCCCACTCTGGTGCCCCACCATCGCTGTCGAACCCACCACCCAAACCAAATCATCTTTTCTCCATTACCTCTCACCTCCAAACCCCCTCCTCGATCAATTCTCCGCCTCGCCTTCACCTCATGATCAGGAATCTTAGCTTTCTCCGACACCTTGTCGGAGCTCAACTCACCGCCGTTATCCCCTTCCGATGAATCATTCACAATTTTCACTCTCGAAAAAGACGCCGATCTCATCGATAACTCGTTTATCTGTAGAATCTGTTACAACAGTCGGAAAATCAAGCTTTTGGTTCCTGAAATCGCAACTCCGACGGGTCTCGCGAGGGCGCTAGGGTTGGGGCGAGGGCGTTTATGTTTACAAACACAACGGAAGTGGAAGGGATGTTGAAGAGTTTGAGAGTGATGGGTTTGGATTGGGAAACTGTGAGGAGGGAGAAAAACAAATGCTTTAATAGTGTTTAATATATATTGGGGATAAAATGGTCATTTCTGACATTCAGATTGTTTATTCAGCACAACAACCGAACAACAACTTATCTGTTAATATACAGACAACTATATCAATACAGACAGATATATCCATACAGGTCTTAACAGCAAACGAACCGAACAGCCCCTTAGGAAAGTTTAGAGGTTTGTTAGTTTCATCCCCTAAACTTATTAAATGACATGTTTAAGCCCTTGAACTTATTAAATGACATATTTAAGCCAAAAATAAAAAGTTTAAATCATTGATAAGTCTCTCAAATTTGGATCTTCTATTAATGACCTCAAGTTATCTGTTTTTAAAAAAATCAGAACATTTCAAGAATTTCAATTTTGAGATTAAGGGACCGTTTACCAAACATTTACCCGGATAAGATTTACCAAGTCATATTACCTTATCGGATGAATATGGTAAGTGTTGGGTCACCTATTGATTTGGTGATGACCCACTGATCTGTTCCTCTACCTTAGCAACACTTAGTAGTTATTGGTTCTTTGTAAGTTGGTGTCTTGGTACATACTTAAAGCCATTGGCAAAATCGAAGACTAGCCGATGTGAAGA